AGAGAGGAAGAGAGGGAGAGAGAGAGAGAGAGGCGAGCTGCTTCTTTATCCTCTCCCCGGCCTACACACACAAAGACTGGCCCACAGCCTTCACATTTCTAACATTCATCCTTCCTTGAATAGTCAAAGAGGAGGACGAACACTGACTGAAAGAGAGACGCAGAGGCAGGACAACTTGGGCTGCTGAGCGGATTGCTGACCTGCTGAATATAAAGATATTCACACTTTGGGGCTTCACTGTTACCCACGAGGAATAAGTGACACACAGGCATGAGGACTTCAACACGCTGTGAAAAGGGATCATACACTCACGGGGAAGTTATTTATCAGACGTCGGCTGTATGGAAAAGGAGAAGAAGGTTTCCACCCTCATCTCAAACTGTGACGTGTCTGCTCGTTCTTACAGAATAATCAGGAGAATCAGTAAGAAAACGTCCCAAACGTGTTCAGCCTGTATGGAAGAGATCTGCTTCGGTCGGGGAAAGTTCTTGCTCTGCTCTGAAACAAAAGAGGCACCTCACAGAGGAGGCATTAACCCAAAGAAAGACAGAGGTGACCGGTCACACAATGATATCACTCTCTGGCCTTTTACCTCTGAACTCTTCGCCGAGACAGAACGCAAAGAATGCGCACATGCACACACTAATTCCGCGGAATGCCCGCTGCAAGGCCTATACTTGCTCTGAGGCGGGACGCACTTTTCTTTTTTTGGTTCTGTCCTTTCGAAAAAATCAAAAGTGAAATGACATTCTAACTCGCAAGAGCTTCAGCTCCAAGATGGAGAATGTTCCATGTTCTCTCAGTGAGAAAGGTATTTTGAAAGCACAGAATACTTGTTGGGTGACCTCTATACAGAGACGCAAACTGAAGCTTATATTTAACATATTTCATACAATTCTTTATGCATATAAATATATATACATATATATATATATATATATATATATATATGTATATATATATGTATATATATATATGTATATATAAATATATATACACACAAACTCACACAGTGATCTGCCACTTGTTTTTCGTCTCCACCTCTCTGATGAAGCCACATGCTCATTAAATGTCACTACACACGCAATAGCCTACACGTGACAAGTCATTACATTACAACGCGGCTTTATATCGGACACAGCAGCACAGTGCGGTTCGGGCTGGAATATATGTGCAAAGTGCAACCTCAACCGATATTAACCGTTTTTTTCTGCCCCTCAGTCTCCGCATGAGGTAAAAGTACAAATGAGTGCGTCATCAGGTCTGAGTGTCTCCTCATACACCGACATACGAGGAACAACGGACACCCTGGTATCCAGCAGCTATTTTACCGTGCAACAATACACAGCTGTTAGACAACCATAACGTCTGCATTGTGTGTATTTCACTAAGGTATAGCAGGATGTGTGTGTGTGTGTGGGGGGGGTTGGCTGCAACGGAGCCAAAAGCTGCATTATCGAGCGACTTGGAGTTTGGCCGTGACGAAACGGCCACAAAGAGCGGCGCCCCCCGCCGGGCTGAGACCAGGGGTGGAGAGGAGGACACCTCTTTATTTGCAGAAAAATAACCGCCTTTCTTGGTCTGTATTTGAATATTTGGAAATGACCTGTCTCGATTTGTTAAACTGAAGATGAGAATGTAGAGTATTGAGGCCAGTGTGTGTCCACCTCATTTCCTAATAATCACCCACCGGTGGTCATAATGCACATTTCAAAAAACAACACGTACACACACGTGTAAAGTGTGGGCATCCTGAAATCATACATCCGAACGCAGCTCCGCTGTGCCGCTCCTATATTCGGGCTTCTGTCCGGAGCAAATGGCGGGTTGGAGGCGCACGACGGTCTATTAAAAGTTTTCGTCTCATCAACCATATTTCCAGTATAATCCACCCTCAAATTTGGCTCGTTGCTTGATTAATTATTTCATTATTTCCACACAACGTATTGGAAACCCGCAACCGAGCGTCAGAGGCCCGGTGGTGGGTCCCAACAGCTCCATGAAGCCTCGTCATGTCGAGCACAGCAAGGACTGATCTCCCCAATCTCTTATAAATGGTATCTTCATTACGGCGGATAGAAATAACGTCCACTATTATATTATATGGAAACACAAATTGCGAGGGAATAAACGGGCCTGCTAATAAACTCAATGCCGTTTCAAAGGTCTGCCCTTCTTAATTGATTCGGACCTGTTACAGTAAGATATGAATTATAATGCGCCCACTGACCGAGGAGCCGGAGCTGTAAAGTTACCTTGTAATTGAATTGACTTAAAAACCACCAAATTGAGCCACATACCATAATATGAAGCACACAAACTGAGGCGGGTTTGTGCGCTGTTGAGCGCCACCATAACGCACGGCCGAACGGGCCCTCGCTGCACTCTGCGCGTAAATATTCCCCAACGGCAACAAGACACAAACAGTAAAGCAACGAGCGGAGCTAAATACAGCCTCTTGCACACAGACAGGTGTTGTGGATGCTTTTATCGTTTTAGACACATTATGGTTGTGGTTAACCCCGATAGGATACTTCTCAGTAATAGTATCAACCCAAACTCCGTTCAGACACGTTGGGAGTTAAGCTGCAGAGCGGGCAGAGATCTCTTTAGGAGGTTTACGGATCATTACGGTTTTCTGGGAAACTCGTCATACAGATGATCAACTATAAACTGAAACCTATTTATATTTTGACAAGATATTATTTTCGCGACGCGATTCTAACACCATGTGTGTTGTCGTGGAAAAGGACTGTGAGGATAACAGGCGAATATGAATTCAAATGTTAAATCACGCTGCTCTGAGTGCTCTTTGTTCCACTCAATATATTGTGAAATGAAAAGTTGATTCTTTTTAAAGAAATACATAATGTTAACTTGTGCTATTTTAGGCATATAGCCAAAGTCACGGGCGGCAAGCAAACCAGCATTAAATTACCGGATTTTTTAACGGAGTCTGGCATGAAATCGTTGCTACGCGGGCCGGTTATCAGCGCGGCTTATGTTCCACTTACTTGGTATTTGTTGTGTTCCAGTAGATGGACTCCAGGATGAGCGCCCGGCACAAGTCCACTTTGAAGGCAATAAACAAAACTCCGAAATAATATCTCCACATCGAGTCCCCCATGGTTGGCCTGCGCACCTCCGGTTAGTGCACAATCCTTCTCAAAATAACCAAATATGTTCACAAAAAACAGATCAGAGGACAAGCGCTCCAGAAAAGGCTGACCACGGCAATTTCTTCACCTTATATCCCGATCCAGTAGGGATGCGCACGGACCACAGACCCTGTTCAGACCTACTAGAGCATCTCCAGAAGAGAGACCTGCTCCAAAAAACCAAAGGCGCACGGCAGTAGTTCATTCAGCGGGCAGTGGCTTTGTATTCTCCTGTTCAGAGCGCAGACTTCACCGCTTTAATACATCCCTCAGAGAGAAGAAAAAGTGTCGGTGTCCGCTGTGGGCCGCGCACAAATATAAATCCCTCTGCGTTATAGTCCAGCAATGCACGCCAGAATCCAGAGCAGCAGCAGAGAGGACCGTGGTGGCTGGTGGTGGAATGGTGAGATTCTCCTTTCAGACAGTTCTGCTGCTGCTGCTGAGCAACAAACTGTGGGTGACAGCAGCAGACAAATGAGACGCACGAAACAATGAGGTCGGATGGTCAAAATGAAGAAAATGATTAAATATGAGAATGAACGAAATCAAAGGAGCTGGAATGGAAGTTCTCATACTAGAGGTCCCCAACAAGTGCTGCGGCTGAATGCTGCAGATCCGTCCCGAAACGCCGCAGACCGCGTAGCGATGGTGCCTCAGTGCTGCTCCGAAACCTGGATGGAAAGTAACTGCAAGGGACCGCGACTGGGAATTTGGTAGAGCTGGTTTTGCCCAGTCCCCGCCCCCCGCCGCTGCTGATTGGTCCTTCGGCAGGGAGCGCTACTGTCAGTCAACGGGGGCAACTGGTTCAGCACGCTGACTAGTGGTGAGCAAACTGGGGAGAATTACAGTGGAATCGTGCTTTTGTGGAAAGGCAGCAGGTCGATGAATCACACCCGAAGCTGAAGTCTAATTCGGACATAATAAAAGTGTCATACATGATATAGATCAATGTAATTAGTTCAATAATACATCCAATGATAATAAAGGTGATAACACTAGCCTGTTGCCTCTAAAAGATGAAAGCAGAATCACTGCGCAGACCAGAATTAAGAGAACTTAAATTAATCGTGTTGCTCTCCAACAACGATCGCGAGCACTGCTCGCGTGTTAATAGGTTCTGTGGATCGCCCCACAATGAAGAACAAGGAGAAGCATTGGCTCCCATCAGGCTCATGTACACACGGCTGGACTGAGCCACGGCGCTCATGTGCTGCACTCCAACTTCTTTGGAAAGACAAGAGCGCCCACTAGCGGAAAATCCGCTCCAGAGACAGCGGAGGAATGTCAGAAACAATCGAATATGTTTCATCCTATCGAAATGGAAATTTTAAAAAAATCACAGAACAGAGCGTGTTTACTTATAGCAAATCAAATAGAACATTATCACATTCAAAAGCAGCTATTGTTTCCTGACATAGAGGTTGTTTGAAAGGGAAACTCTTCAAATGTTTTGGAACTTTTAAGAAGTTTAAACAGGTTTGCATTTTTTTTGTACTGGACGCTGTCTCTGACCAACACAATTATTCTCTTATTAGTATTTAAATTGTTGTGCTGTAATTGATTCCTGAACTATTAAAACATTATTTCAACACATGTTAAAGTTCATTCAAAGCCTAATTGAAATGTCTCACATTCACACTTTCTGCAGACACTGAATGTTTTTCGCCAATTGCCTCTAATTTGACAAGTAAACACGCACACACCTCTGGCGGCCCGAATGTCACGTGTGAAGGTTTCACACTTTGTAACCGCTTAATGGATCAGGGCGGGTTTCTCTTCTAGGAGCGGCCGCTGTGGATTGCGGCCGTTTGCTGCGCTGATAATCAGGCTGATGGAACGTCGGGCAGATAATTGAGGAGTCCGATCCCACTTCTCTGCTTTCCTGCCTGGAATAAACACACAGAGGAGCCACGCTGTCACCGCAGACCGCGTGTGTATTGCAGCCGCGCGGACATTCGATTCATTTAACGTGTTAAAGGAAAAACCAACGAATGTGCGAATTAGATTAACAGGACTGACGCGCGGCTCTCTGCTGATTGTTCTCTAATTATTAACACTTTTTTCACGCTGGAGAGAAAGGAAAAATATTAAAATATGTCTGTAGTGACTTGGAATATGTGTTTCTTATAGTTTATTGTGGTGTTCGGAGTTACAAATTGAGTTTTAGTTTTCTCCATATTTGTTCATTTGTACAAAAAAAATATAATGATACTAATAAATAAAAAATGGCTGAAAAAAGCCCACAATGTAGCCTACTTTTAATTGTCTCTTTCTCACCATCAAATATTTCTAAAACATGCCTGTTCTTGTAGTCACTCAACTATATCTTGTGTTACTCACCATTTATTTTTATTTTCTTATAAAACTATTTGTTTCGTCTTCGAATATAGTTTGAGTGAGAAATGTCGACGGCAGCGCAGGAAGTTTGAGTTGTATTATTTTTAAATCTCTGCCTTCCTGTAAAACAAGTCACTCAACCCGCCGGGCTAAAATAGCTGCAGAGCGTCTTTCCTGCAGATCAGCCCGGCTGACAAAAGAATCACACACACACACACACACACACACACACACATTTAACCGAATCTTTGAGCGACACTTGCAAATAGAGGAAATCAGTTTGGATACACGTTAACATTGTTAAGCCTGCTAATTTATTCCAAATCAACGCAAAACGTTTGTGAATCTCAAAGTTTGTATTGAAAATAAATTCAAATTAACTTGATCAAAAGTAATAGTTTAAAAAGCGCCAAATTAGCCATTTGATACTTTATTTTTATTTATATTTTTATGTATTTTATCAAGCAAAGGTAAACGGTTCTTTTTAATTTGCACTACTCATTCAGGTCATAGTCCTCGCTGGGACAGAGGCACAGTATCCTACACAGGCCGCAAGCCGTGTTTATTCAGCAGCTCAGTGGAGCGGAGCAGCCGGGCTGTGGGGGGGGGGGGGGTCTTACGGCTGGTGTTGGACTGTGGCGGTGGAGGCTCTAAACTACTACTATAAGAGAGATGAGAAAAGAATCCGCGATGAGACCAGTGTCACTCGGTCATGGTGAACACGTTAGTCTGTGACCCAAGTTTAATAATTCATTACATTATTCCAGTGGTGGGCCGTCAGGGCCAGCAAGGCCTTCTCTGCTGGCCTAGACACAATCACAAAGTTATAGCTACTTTATAATTTAGTAAGTTTTCATAAATACATGTATTCTAAATATTTTCTCCATTATCTTATGTTCTCATTGCACAGCTACTGTCTTCCTCAGTTGCTCTGCTTCCAGTGCAGCTTGTTTTAAGTAGAGCTTTTATCCAATCAGATCTCACCTCTGTGTCTCTAGGTAAGAACAGAGGCCTGCAGACTCACAAGTGCATCCATGTGCACTTTAAGTGAATGGGGACGATGTTGTTGATTGTCATAGTGTTCAACCAATCAGATCTTTAGTTTGACATGTTGGGTGTATTCTTTGACGTGTCAGAGCCTGCTAGCTGGTCTACAAGTACGTGATTGGTCAGTGGGCTAGCGTGACATGATGGGCGGTGACAATCCCAATATCTGCTGCCTCTGTGGAGCGGACATTTTCAGCCTCAAACGCATTAAAACGTATTCAAGAAATACAACTGGGGAGGCTCGACTGTCTTCACTGGCGTCCATGAATCCAGAAGGACTTCTTACTGGAACTAAACACACAGATGTACTGAACAACCGTGAGATTAAACTCTTTGTTAACAAAGAAAGGAGGATGCACTTTGTCTTTAGATAGTGAACAGCAGCTCTGGTAAATTCACTGCTTTTGTTTTTACATCTGCAGTAGCTTTAATATGCTTGTTTATATATTATTTGTACAACTTGTTTTTATGAAGATGGATATTTGTTTGGTTTAATATGTGATAGGAACTATTGTTACATCCTATGTTGCTCTGGGGACACATTTAGCCGGTACCAGTGTTACCAACTTTCTCGCTAAATCTGGCGACTTTCCAAAACCCTCTTGGAGACTTTTTTTGTCAAAAGCTACTAGCGACAAATCGAGTGTTGTTGGAGACTTTTGTGGTGTTGTGACTCTGACGTTAAAGCTCGTACGTTCTGCACTGTGGTGAACGAGCAGCGGTGCTGCCGTGCACCGGGCGCTGACATACCTTATTTATTGTCTCGGCACATGTTCAAATAGAGACTTGACATGGAGAATATCAACATTATTACCCAGCAATGACCATTGCATATCTGTGTGTGACTAAGGCCCTGTCCACACTACTCCGTTTCTATTTGGATGCAGATTTGTCAAATAGAACCGATCTCCGTCCACACGGGAGTTTCAGCATCATTCTCGAGTTGATCTGCGTCCACACGGCAGCCTTCGAAGGCGGACAGCACGTGACCATTAACGTACACTGGGCATGCGCGACGGTGTAAACAGGAAGTGGATTGCTTGCTTAGTTTAAAAAAAAAAAAAATATGACAGAGTAATAAAGTAGTCTTTAATAATGAAAGGTTGTATTTGATACTTAAGACAGTCACAGTTCGTGGAAAGTTTTAGAAGTTTTATTTTTCAGACGTAGTTACAGTGCTGCGGGTCTCTCGCTCTCTCACACACACATCAAATTTACTTTAACATCAACACTTACACGTAAACGTTTACTAGATTATGGGTCCATCAATGTGGTCAACACGTCTCTCAGTCGTTTCCTCTGTGTTGTTGGTGTCTGTTCTCACTAGTAGCTCTGAACATCATGTCCGCCTAGCTAGCTTCTAAGCTAATTTTAACATTACCGTCAATGGAGAAATGCTAACCGCGATTAGCATTTAATACAACACAAATGTTATACTAAACACGCGAATATCTTTTCATGCTTCATAAAGACATACTTGCAGACTAAGGTCTCTCAAGGCTACCAAACGGAAGAAGTAAAACGTTAGAATTCTCATTAGAATCTAAAAACGAGCTGCTCCATAGGGCTGATGCTGGTCACGCCGCTCGCTAATCACTCCAATAACAGCTGCTTCCTCCACAGAAATGCAGACTTTTACTGCACAACAGCTGCTAGCTGCTGCTAGCTGATGTGCTAGCAGCAACGCTTGCAATTAGTTATCCATGTTGAAATGAATCGCTGGTAGCCCAGTTTGTTTTCTTCCGGGTACGGGTCACGTGATAGTGAGTGTGACGAATCAGGGACGGAGACGTCATGGTTGCCAAGAACCAATCCAGTAGCGAACACGGGTGTGGGCGTAATTTTTTCTAAGCACATCCGTATCCGACCGTCCACACGCAAACGCAACCCCGGAGTTCTCAAATACCTCCAACCTCGGCGGAGTTTTCAGATTCCTCCGTTTAGGGTGCTCCAAAACTCCGGCGTAGTGTGGCCGCTCAGTGTAAACGTAGCAAATACGGAGTAAAAACGGAGTAGTGTGGACAGGGCATAAAATATCAGAGAAAATAAGATATTATTTTAAAGTAATCATATTATTTTGCTATCACTTCTATTTACGCCATGGATGGATTGATTACTTATTATCTGGCGGGGCCTCGTTGGCTGCTATGAAAGTTGCTCAGTGGGGCAAGACAATAAAAAAGTTTGACTTCTGAGTCTGAAATAGTGACGAAATGAGCTGCATGGTGTCCACGGGCCACAGAGCGAGCAGAGCGACTTTAATGCAGGGAAGAGAACGAGGCTGTGCCCGCTGAACTCTTCTCACCAGGCTGCACTGGAAACAGACCAGCAGCTGCACAGCTCAAACTGGAAACGGTTAAAACAGGTTTTGTGATCTTGACCATATGATGCAAGTGAAGATGGACCAGGTCTAACGACGACTCATCATCTAGTGATTGTGTGAAGCGATTTCAGTTTGCATTAACGCCACGTAGCACTTGAAGTTATTAGTGTGAGCTGGAACTCTCCATGAAGCCCATGTTAAGTCTCGCCTAGTAAACATAGTTCAGGAGGGACACACACACACACACACACACACACACACACACACACACACACACACACACACACACACACACGGGGGCATTCAATGGATTTATTGAACTGTTCAATCCCTTGACAATTGGGGGGAAATTACATGACAAATTCAAAATCCCACAACATAACAAAAAGTCATAATACCCACCTGAGGTCAGCCTGCCTGTCACTCTCTCTCACCCACCCACAACCCCCCCCCCCCCACACACACACACACACACACACACACACACTCTCACTCTCACACTCACTCTCACACTCACTGCTGCTGACCTCAAACCTTATCTTACCTGAACTTGTCCATCCTATACGAATCAAGACTTACCAAGTGTGGCGCCTTGCCAAGTTCATTTACTACAACAAAAGTGGGACAGAACACGGAGTGTGTGGCCGGGTGGTTCCCACAGTTCACTGTTTTTCCCAAAGAGTCTGATAAAACAAAACTCAAGTGTTTACCATTACTGTGACTTTTTGTTAACTTGGGGAGGAGTGGGAATCAGCACATCACAGCAAGGCTAATAAAATTACATCATACAGGAAATGTACCCACAGGCCCGCTTATCGTAGACGAGACACGCATCCTGCTGGAGGTCGGTGGTTCAGTCATGGGCGGCTTGAGAGTCGAGGCCGAGTTCACCTGCACCGCAGCGACTCCAAATCTAACACGAGCTTTACATTTCCTCTCAGCTAGACATGCGGCTGTCATTTAGAAAAAAAAGATATGTACATGGCAGACAGAGCTGAAGCAGAAAGAAGAGGAGCTGTGGATCTACACGGTGAGAGAAGGTAACGGAGGTGGAAGACACAAACCTGTCAGCTGGACGGGAAGTTAACTGTGCTTTTAGAGGCTGTGCTGGGATTTGTCATCACTGCGTCAGCCACTTTAATAACCTTTACAGATAAAAAAAAATGATAACGGGAAAACCACAGGCCGACTCCCAAGCCACTCATGAGCTTTACAGTAGACTGAACTAGACAACGTCACACATACTCTTCTATATCAGGGACTGGTGCTCTATCGTAGTCTGCTGGCTGTGAAGACATGTAAGAAGAGCGCAGGCGCACAGCTGCTCAATGTTACACCAGAGTTAAGACTTTCCAGGAAAGGGACATGTTAAAGCATTCTACATCAAGAGATTGAGTTCCCTAAAAATGAAAATTAAAAAGGTGGAGAAAAAAAAAGATGCACAAACAGGATTCATCTGTGCGGTGGGGATGAGGGAGGATGGAAGGAGAGTCGGGTCCTTCGAGGGCGATGAGCTGCCTCCTCTTCAAGGCCGGGGGGGAAGAGCAAGTTCACACACCGGCTGCACCCCGTTCCCCGTCCTTCCTTCAGCACTTCCAAAACGAAGCGAGTGTTCCTCAGAGGAGGAGTGGGTGATTGATGGAGAAGGAGAGCTGGGGGGATGACATGTGGACCAGGGGGAGCAGTCTCATTCGGTGGCCTTCAGGGAGAAGGACAGCTTGGGCCTGGACTTGCCCTTGCCGAGGATGATTTTCTGCTCCTCCTTCTGCTGCTTTTGACGGTCCTGCTCCAGCTTCATGCGCTCCTCGTGAATCTTTCTCTGCTCCTCTACAATACGCAACTGCTCCTCAGCCTGTCAGAAGCAAAGCCGACATACAGCAGAAACAATAAGGTCAGAACATCTCTCAGCGTCTCTACACCCGGTAAGATCCAGCACCAGTGTCTCTCTCGTGTGTGCAGCAGTTTACTACAGCACAATACACAATACAGCCAACAGGAAGGAAGGCCACTGGACTGATGAGCATCAATCCAAAGCCACTCAATAGAAGTGGTTGTTGCCAAAGGACTATTAAGTTATTCAGTCATGTTGTGGTGAAAGCCTCGAGGTCTCAATCAGTGGAACTAAAGACACATATGTGACTTTAGAATCACATAAAGCAGACATGACGTGCATTGTTTTTCTTGCTGCACTTAGAAATGAAATGACCTCATCAGTGGATGTGATCAGAACCCGTATGTTCAAACTAAAACATATTTGTGGATATCAATATGATGTAACAGTTCAGTGTGGTGTTCTACAAACTCAACTGGTTCTCAGGGTCTACTGAAGCACTACAAGAGGATAACTAGTGCTGGTTAGTTGTCTGTGATGAAGGCAGCGTGTAGAAACAGTGAGATAGAGGCGTATGAATTTAACATGAGAATGGGGGAATGCATCACGTACCAGCTTGGCCTGAGCGTCAGCGATCTTGCGGTTATTCTCCTCTAGGATTTTCTCCAGCTCCTCCCGCTTCGATTTTTCTTCTTCCTAGACGGATGACACGGTTCCATGTTAGCGCACGAACAGGCTACAGCCACAAAGCACTTCATGTACATACGTACACACACTTGCCCTCTAATTGTCACACTAACACTCGCCACCAGCACACACACACACACACACACAACTAACGCATTACACCACAGAGGGGTTTGCTCAGCCTCTCACACATGACCCACTGTGTGGCATTCTTTGCAGTCATGCTGAATAGTTTTAAAAAGACAAACGGGGGCAAAAAGAATAAACAAAGGAAACTGTGGGGGAAGGACTGAGCCACTCCTATGTTTCCCTCCCGTTACTGCTGTTAACACCCTCTAGGAACTATCTAACGTGAAGCCACTTCTAGGGCACTCACTGACTTAATGTGAAAGACATTACAATTTAAACACAAGTATTCAAAAAGGGGGAAACCCACTCATCACACTCATCAACAGAAGACAGATAGAGATGACAGACAATTCAATCTAGAAGAAAATACAACTGCTGATTTTATAATATAAGCAAGAGAAAAAAGGATACAAATAAAGGAGGGAATAGTTTGGCTCACCAATGCATGTATACCTACGCATTTTCCTTGCCTGTGTACCTACACAACTGGTGAAAGCATTCGGCATTAAACGGTTGAATATTTACTGTCTCGTCCGGACTGTGTGGCCCCTGCAGAGACAGAGAAGCGCTCCTGGGGTGGGGGGGGTTCTGCCATACCGCGCCAGCAGCATTCCTCTTTATAACTGATCTCTGTACTGCTTAGCCTGCGCCTGCAGCCACAGCGCACACTCTGTTTTATCGGGTTTCTTGCCTTTCTTTACAGCGGCTCAGTCCCCACTGAGACGAGAGCAGGCTGAAGGCGAATACAGTACAAAGTGTCATCTGTGTGCTCGAGGAGGGCCGGCCCACGGAACACTTACAGTACAGGACACAAGTCACGGGGAGCCGAGCGGCTGCAGGCCAGCTCAGGTCAAGTGATACTTAGGAAGTTGGTGAGTTGTGTTTCCAAAAAAATAAAAACACAAAAATGTATTTACTAATAACAATATCAAACTTCGCAGCAGCCCTATGGGAGAAGCAAGTCATGAGTACAAAACACAGTACATTTGTTTTCTAGGGAGAGAAAGTCTCTTTAAAATAGATATTAAGAGATCAAAAGGTTAGACCAGAGATAGTTAACCTTGTCAAACAGGAAACAGGAAATGTAGCGGTCCGTCATTATGTATCCAACAGCAGATGCCGTCTAACAGAAGATTGTCAAAACAAGGATTATTAAAAAGGTAAAGAAAACCTGTACAGGACAAACCGTCGGTCAATTAAAGAATATGTCATCAACATTTCTACACATCAAAATCCATTTAGAATGTCAGAGCAACGGAGACGAGAAGGCTCCACTCATGTTTCAATGTCAGCGTTATGAGCTTGTTTGAGGCAGAGCTCTGGGTTATAGATGGGCCTCGCTATTCTACCGGCTCCGCCAGAACCGTCAGACTGAGAGTAGGAGAATTGGAAAGAGAGGAGAGCGTACAGACGGAGCCTTTGGCTGGAGGGGGGTGGCCCAATACGTCCACAGAGGTACAGGGGGCATTGCTCACCCTATTAGTATCAAGCTACTGGCAGGAGTCTGTGCAGGACAGGGTCCTCTCGCACACAATACATTATGACTGGAGTATAAACAAACCAGCTTTCAATATGAAGCTGGGGGGGGCAGGGGGTTTGTCAGACAGTTGTCTACCTTTACGCTCTAAAACAAAAGGAGAGAAAGAAACAAAGGGCCTTGTACTAACTACGGGTCCTTTAAGAAGTGCAGAACGACTGACAGGACTGAGCTTCTTATTCTAACTTAAACTAAAGTCTGGCTGAACGACAGAGTTCGCTTTATAAAGCTAGTTCTCAGTTTGGCAAGTTGAAAAATGTCCATTGATGTACAGAGACGGTGACTAACACAGAAGTGCTTAAAAAAAGAGCTGTTTATTACATATTATTAACAAAGATGCTAGCAAATATGAAAAGTAAAAGATCAAGCTGAACCAGGGACAGAAATTATGAAAAAGAATGACGTCAGTTAACTTATGTAACTCTGCCATGGCAAAACTCTCACTGGCAGGTTAGGAAATCCCCTTGGGACGGCAAAAAGAAGGGTGGCGGTATTCACATTCCACCTTTAAGTGTGTAACAGGGAACGGTCATCCTTAAAGACTAAACCGCCACTTCAGGTCAGGCGTGATTCCTGCTGTAAGAAACCCAAATCCCCTGTTTGGAGCCTGCATGAAAATAAAGGACAGATGTTGTGGAGCCATAATTTCACACGTAGGAGATGTGACTGTGCACGTGTTGTACAAAGTCCCATTATTTTGATGAATTTGTAGCATTGATCCCCAGTGAGTGACATGCACAGAGTTTCTCATCTCATATATTTACCATTTAAACACCGAGACTGGATTGAATAGATGGTAATGCTTTCTTACCATTAAGTACTTTATTCCCCTGCAGGACAGCCACTTCCAGGCTCTGTATGTACCCTCCCTGCTGTGAAAACTGTACCATGGCCAGATTACGTTGTAAAAACTAAATTGGGAGGGGTGGAATGTGCCTCCACCTCCAGTGTCCCCATGTGTCCCTTCGAGAGGCACCAGTGAGAGCAGGTGGGGTCAGAGGTTAAAGGGTTTGGGAGGCTGTAGGACAAGGAGGGGTTGCGTTCCAAACGACCGAGCGTTACCTCTCTGGCCTTCTGCGTCGCCAACTCTGCCTGCCGTTGTCTCTCCAGCTCCTCCAGCAGCTGCCGCTCCATGATGCGCTTCGCCTCCTCGACGCGCCGCAGCACCTCCCGCTCGATCTCGTCCTTCCGCTTCTCCAGCTCCTCCTCCACCCGCTTGGCCACCAGCTCCTCCACTCGCCGTGCCGTCTCCTCCTCGATCAGCTTCTCCTCGATCTCCAGCTGCCGGCTTGAGGACGGGGGGAAAAAAACAAATGGGAGGAGCAATGAGAGGCGACATCGAGATGGACAGTTAATAGGAAATGAAACCGATTTCTCATAAAGCTGATCTATTCTCATGCCAAAGACACATACTGCACAACACTAGACAAGGAACTAAACAGGTAGGTGAGTTAACACCACAAATACAGAATACAGTAAAACTTTATCTGCAGCATGATGTCTTCCTGATGTAGCTCTGTGAAAACAATGAATGAAAAGCTAATACGTGGTACACATTAATTTTGTTCCGAGGATAAATGTTAAAAAGGAGATAAGGTATAAGAAGATGCAGCCAGCAAACTGGATATGAAATGAAGAGGTGCTTATTGCATATTGGGAAAAGCATGTCATAAGTACACAGCACCTTCTACGTTGTATGTAAAACCACCAATGTTAGGGTCAAATCACAGATCGACTACATGCAGCACAGCTACGCCCAGCTATTCCGGATGTGTGGAAATTTGACTTGCAATACCACCCAACTCCCTTGCAGCAATGAATGAAGTAGCATTGTGCAACACAATGCTACGCAACTAAACGCAACTGTAGAGCATTTGCTACACAAGAAATCCATGAGAACAAGAAAGAAGTGCATTACTGTGGTGCAGCAGGAGGAATGTGAACAGCACCAACTAAACAACTGTCAGGGCAGATTATATGACAAAGAAATAGGGGACGTATTGTCCATCAACTTTGACTTTGTTTGAGGCCCGAGCATCACTAATGTATACGCAGAGGCCTGCGCTCTGTCCAGCGGTACGCAGCGATGGAGCCAGGTCTCTGTGAACATGTGGGCTCAACAGTCACCAACCTCCTGTTGCTGGGTTAGCCTCTAGTCTTTCTTCATCCATCTCATTTTCATGCAAGCAGACATCAGACAGCAGCAGGCTGGGTAGTGGAACAGCCTCGGGTCCTAGCTGGGTTACCTCTCCTTTTAGTGGCTTCATGCAGATGGAAGTTACCGGTCCTGTCTGCCTACTGTTCTTTAGTCTCTTCACTCTCAACAGGAAGCTAATAAGAACTGGGAGTTGTGTTGTCACATCACTTGTGGCACAACTGTAAACATGCAACCTATCCTGCCTGGATCTGATTTCATTCTGTCAGCCACTGGGGAACCAGAGACTCTACCCAGCCCAAGTCCTTCCTTATCTCCCAGGTTTGTGTCGTGGTATTGACATTTGTATACCTGGTTAAGTGGCCCTGTGGCCAGTAAGCAGTAAGAAAAAAAAAAGAGCTACTCAGGCGACCAGGTGTGTGTGCCTCTGGCTACCACACACACCTTCACAATAGCAGTTTCCCTGTCCAACAGATAGAACCTGCCAGCAGACAATAAACAGGTCATCATGCAGTATTTTAAAAGGAAATGTGGACGTCCAGTCAGTGCTGATGGTAAATGTAGTACATTGATAAAATAAAGTCTGTGCTATATTGACCAAGAAAGCTGATCACTTCTCCTGCAGAACTGTGCTGGCTGTGCCTACATGTACCAGGATGCATTGCACATGTCAGCTAACTTAATGAAATAAACTCACAAAATATCAATAAAGGATATATTCTTACACCTAAAACAGAAGATACAACCGTACACATTCTGGATTAAAGCTTCTCTTTTACACTAAACTAAGACAACTCATCGTACAACACACTATAAAATAAAACTCATCCAACACGACTTGGGTCTTTCTACTGTTCCAACAATCAGCAACTCTGGTTTGGTGGAAATAAATCCTAATTCACAAAATGTAGAACATAGGCCGGCTCTACAACTCTGGCTCAGTGGTAGAGCAGGGTCGTCCTTCAATCAGAGGATTGGAGGTTCGATCCCCGGCTCCTCTAGTCCGTGTGTCCTTGGGCAAGACACTTGACCACAAATTGCTCCGGTAGCTGTGCCTACGGTGTGAATGTTAGTTAGAGTCCTGGTGGGCAGGTGGCACCTTGCATGGTAGCCCTGTCATCAGTGTGTGAATGGGTGAATGATGACATGTAGTGTTAAAGAGCTTTGAGTGGTCAGAAGACTAGAACATAGAAGTACAGTCCATTTACCATTGTATCTCGGTGACAGCATCCAACCAAAACTGACTACTGTAAGCGAGGGCTGCACTGTATGTTGTTGAAGCATCAACTTTGCGATGTGCGTCTGCTGGGATTCAACTTTGCCAGTCAGAGACGGCCACTTGGTTTGGAAGGTTCCTCTTTGGCCCTCGCCAGGCACATTTCCACTGTGGCTGTAACTGTGACTGGCTCCAACCATGCACTGTGGGGGGTGACTTTTTTTTGCTGTGTCATCACAATTCATATCGATACAATCAATGTTTTTATGACTTCATTGTTTACAAGAGCACAACATTGTTTATCCAGCCTCTTAGTTTTACTCTCAAAGTACACCAGATTGATGCATCTAACTTTAAAATCTACAAACATTTTTAAAATGTATGTATTTTTTCATATCACAATATATATCCCATGAACTAATATTGCAATGTCAGTTTGTTCCTAAAGTCTTGCAGCCCTACGATAAGCATGCTTTCTTGCATGCAACTAACTATAAAGTCTGTCTGTCCTTCCCTCTCACAGACTCTGTAGCTCTTGCATAGCACACCAGCTAACTACCTAGCTAGCCCAACCGTGTCTACCGGCATGCAAAAAGGAAGGCGGTAAAGTAGTGAAGCTCTTGTTTTCTTTGATCGGCTGTCTGGACCGAGTGCACTATTAAGTGAAAAGTTGAGAACATTTTCACTTTCATGGCTATCTAACAAACACCTCTAGAAATATGCGATGCGCAGCATGTACCATATAGAAACAACCATTTCTAGAGTGACGGTCTTAGTGTGATTGGGGCCCTGGAGGGTAAAGGGTATACAATTGCATATTTAATCAGACAAGCACTCAAAACACCTTACGGGTTCAATTTATGGTAGGAACGTTTTTTTCTGAGGATGTACATTACTAATGTTTGGTTTGTTCAATAAATTAATTACAAAATTCTTAAACTGTCGAAGTTATGTCTTAATATCTAATCAATATCTAATCTATAACCAGTGCTAGAGCCACTGGATGACAAACTAAACAGCACTACCTTACTTCTTGCAATAAATGAAGGGCCAGGAGCCTGTCTTGGAATCTGCTGCACTGGAAATACATTCAGTGACAATAAGAGATGGAGAGACAAGCAGGGATGATAACTGTGTTGTGCTTGCTTTAAACAACACAATACTAACTCCATTGCCCTTGTACAAACTGTGAAGTTATAAATAATAATCCAAGTTTAATAATAATAACATACAAGCTATTTCAAATCCAAACCGCCTCATAATTTAACTTAAACTGAAGGTACAACCCGGTTCTAAAGGCGACTGGCCCCGCGGTGCTCTGACAGGGAGAATCACTTTCGACGTACAGCCAAGGACCTGTGGAGTAGTGCTGACGTTAGCACGCTGTGGCGGCTAGCTTGCTAGTGTCAGGGGCTAACGCTATCTACACAACTGAACGCAGCTAGCCTAGCATTTAGCTTAGCATATATTGCGGTTCAATACAGGCAACGTTCTGCAACATTGTAACACTAAGTCCCAAGGCGTTTAATAAAATACACTCACATCTTCCTTTGTCTTTCCATCTCTGCCCTTCGTTCCTCCTCTTCCTTCCTCTGCTTCTCGTCCAAAGCGTTTCTCTTGCTCAGAGTCCTTCCGAAGATGTCGATGCGCTCAGGCGGCGTGGCTGGTCTTTCTCTGCGGGACGAGGCTGTGGTGGACCGAGAACGAGAACGAGATTCTCTGCGACGGTTCCTTTTCGATTCTCGGGACTTGGACCGCTTCTTTGACCTCTCCCTGTCTTTGGACCGCGACCGGCTCCGTTTCTTGCTGTGCTTGCTGCTTTTGGAGTGTTTAGATCGGGACGAGCTGCGGCTGCGAGATCGGCCCATGTTGCCCACCTCCACTAGCGTTAGTAGAGCGCGTACACCAAACTACTGTGTCTTATGTCTGATATGTGGGCAGTATCTGGAACTCCGTTCCACCCGCAACTCTGTAAACTTATTATTTACAATAACTGACCAAGAGGAATTTCTTCAACGATTCTGTTTTGGAGAAATTATCATTCAAAACTGGTTGTTATTTTGCCCTGCTAACGCTCCAAAAAGAAAGATGGCGGTTTGTCGAATTAGTAGTTTCCCACAAGGCACCGCGGGTTTCGGTATTTCCCGGAAGTCTTCGGGATTGCCCAGTCAAATCAACGCAGACGGTCCTCAAACGTGACTTACATTTTATAAATAATTATTGTACAAATAATAATTGTATAATGTATTGGGAATATGTGTATGTACTGCCTCAGTTTGGATCAATCCGTGATACAATGTGCGCATATTAGTGTGACTTAAATAAATGTCTGGCAGGCCTGATCGCTTTACTGTTGCATCCCCTTCATAATTATACTGATAGCATGGATGGCAAGTTAGTTTTTTTATATACGGCTAAAATAATGTTACACTCTGTTTAAGCTGTAAAGAATATTTTAAAATTCCAAAATCATATCCAGTTTATACTGTGTCAATGGATTCCATTGACACCAAAAAGAAGAGATAACGATGTATAGGAACAAGTAATATCTTATCATAAAATACTCCTGGGAGAAAAGAAAAAGCTCAGTCGCTAAAATGCTGAGTACATAAGATGAGTAAACTGTAACGGTTGATTGCATGCATTGCATGCTCTGCTGTCTTTTTTAATGCAAGCAGGCCAAAACCACACTGCATTACATTTTTGCTCCTATTTGACCTACATTTAACTTGTGCCTGTGTCCATTTTTAAATACTGTTTTCATGCACTATCAGGGGCTAAAATTATGCTTTTATCAGAGCTATGTAAATATAGCAACAAGAACATCAGATAACCAACCGACAGACAGAAAGAGGGAGAGAAAAAACACAACTTGACAATGACACAGTCCTGCACTAAAAGATTGCCATCCCACTCTAGCAAAATGAGGCCATTGTGATAACTCTCCCCGGAGTGCTGAGCTCGAAATAAACTGCCATTACTATATTTAAAAGCACATAACTCAAAAGACCAGTGAATCAGCCTTAAAAAAAAGGTCACACCACTCAAGCTGAGAATGAAAGTGTTCCAACTTTACAAGGATTTTTTTGTCATTTAGTTTTTTTCTAATTACCTGCAGCTTTCAGCATCTCCGAATCTAATTTTAGTAAAAGAAATAATTTGTTCACATGGAGTCACGCTGTGTGCAGCTTCGATTGTAGATCAAAAGTTCTAGTTCTTGTAAATTGATAGCAGTTGTCAGATGCGTCACTTTCATACCCACACAGATGAACAAGAGCCTTTGTGTTGAGTAACTGTGCATTCATACACAAGCCTGTATTGTCAAATTGAGTGTGAGCACCACAGCCACAGAAATACAAATTTCCTCAGAATTAAAGCAAAGAGAGAAATTACATGATTTTAGTGGCAGAAATTGAGGGCAAGTCTTGGTTCATCCATCCAGGGACAGCTTCCCCTGCCTGCCTTCCCTTCCCCTCTTTCTTATTGCTGCTCGGAGCCAAAGAATCAATTTTCTGTAATTTGTGGTTGTGGTTTATTTTAATGATCCATAAATTCTGTTCCCACAGATGAGAGGAATCGGCATTAAAGAGCAAGAGATGTCTTGTTTTTCACTAGTGTAACGGGAAGGGAGAGGTGCTTAAAGCTCCTTTTGATGAATAACAGAAAATGTTTCATGGAGGTGGAGAAGAAGAGAGTTCCAGTGCAGCTCCAGTGGGAGAAAAAAAAAGAGGCCGATTTGGAGAAGCCGTGCAAATGAAAGAATTTGCAGAGTTTGTCTGCTTTGCTCATGGGTGGTTTGGGATGAATGTCGAAGGAGAGACAATAACATGAGAGTGGCGAAGATAGAGTTGTTAGAGAAGGTTTCAAAGAGCCAAAATAACAGGTTTCGTGTTTCTCTAATCCGCATATGAAAGGATGCCATGTAGTAGTAATCTCAGGAGAAACAATGTGGATATGCCACTAATAATCACATCAGTCAGACGTCAGTGAGAACAAACAACGAAACCGAGGAAACCAGTGAGAGACGTGTGTTGACCACATTTATTGTGAGTGTTCATTTTAAAGTAAATTTCATGTGAGAGAAAGAGAGCAAAACCCGCATCCTTGTATTTAAGTCTGAGAAATAAAACTTCTGAAGGTTTCCACGAAATGTGTCTGTTTGAGTTTATAGCGGAAGTCATTATTAAATACTGCTTTATTACTCGTCATATTATTTTAACTAAGCAACCAATCTATTTCCTGTTTACATCGGTACCCACCCACATGCCCAGTGTCACGTGATATTTGTTTTCAGGCGTGCTGGTCTGGATGGAGATCATTTCAAAAAAGATGCTGAAACGCCGTGTGGACAGACATTGATTTTGTTTTGAAACGTATTAGTGTGGATGTAGCCTAATATGTCAACAAAATGAAACAATCATTTTTAACCTGGCTTTATTCAATGGTCAGACTTCTCTCCTGGAAATGTATGCAAATGATTTTAAATTTCCTTAAACAGCTGGAAACTGGGCAAACATGAACTAAAAAGAAGGTGGGTGATGTCGGATCTCCTCATTCAACTTTTTTTCAAAGTAAGCATCCGTTTTGTTATCTTCTTCTTTGTGTTGTTTGGACAGCTTGTTATCTTCTTCTTCTGCTTTCTCTTCTTAGAAACCCAGATGTCCACTTGGAGACTGCGTGGACCCTCGTGGATGTGGTAGGATGGCGGGATTAACATCACGCGGGCCAAAGCAGACCCTTACAGACACATGGACGCAGAAAGCATGAATTGGCCTCTACTTTTGAGGAGACCTTCTGCTGATCCTGTTGGCATCCATTCATTGAGATAAACCTCAGTAATCTCATCAGTCTCACCATCATTTTGAAAATGTAAACGTTTTTTATAATTTCAAATTTAAATTTGAATTAATTGGATGAAATATAGATTATCCTTAAAACTCAGATCTCTAAAACCCAAAGAAAGTAAACCCAGCTCTCTCAGTTCAAGTTAATCAAAGAGTCCATCCCTTTCACATAGTGTGATCAAAGTTGGCCCTCTTCTTTCACAAGCACTTCTCAGGTCCCCTGACCCTGCCCGTGGTTGCTCCTCAGGGGGAAAACACTTAACAAACACAGGATCTCTTTTAAAGAGCCCCGCCACATTGTCACATTGTCATGTTGATGGCCCAGGGGTCCTGGCATAAAGAACTATTGAGGTAGGAGACCTGAAAGCAAACCCCCCCCCCACGTGCCTCGACTGCCCTGAGAACAGTTCTTTCACCCCGGGCTGGGTATAGGAGATGTGAGGAGCAGACAGAAGCAGACGGGGCAGGAATGGTGGAGATTTTAGGAGAGCGAAGATATTGAGGAAGTGGAGGACAGGAGGGAGTTTAAGAGGTGGGTGGAGTGGACCAGTGATAACTAGAAGACATAGCCCTCTTGCACCAATAGTTGGGCTGGGCAGTCTGACTTCGATTTTTCACTTTGCAGACTGATAATAGAATTCACTGCATATAGACCATTTTGTCATTAGTTTAATAAGCTTGGATTTAAATGCAGCACATGTCTCTGGGATAATTATTAATGCATGTTGGGTTTGGCAGCGTTTTACAGGTTTTGGAATAGGTACTAAACTTGATCCAAAACAGGTGCATCAATACCTATGTTAACCTGTTAAACGCTGAACTAGCTGGTGTACAGGAGGTTCAAAGTATTCAAAAGATTGTCTCTTGGGGTCAGAGCCACTGACTTGTAAATTTGTCTCATGTAGCTTTAAGGCACACGTGATAATGCACTATTGTATCACAACTTGACCAGGGAGATTTATGAAATGCTGTGTTTTGTGCTCTGCAACATTCCGAGAGGGATTTACCACCAAAAATAGTGAAATCGTCAAAAGTAAAGTGTAATGTTTAAAGAGTAAAGTGTAAATTTCAAGCACAGGGTCTAGCTCCTCCTTCTGCTGTCTGATTTGTTCTCCCGCTGTCCTTTATCGTCACACACTATCTGCTACCGTGTGACTCCCAACACTGACCAGATGTCCATCCCCTGACTGACCATTACAAGAAAAGTCATCCCGACGATTTATTTCATTCAAAATCACTAACCCTTAAAAGAACGTCCAATTCACTACGACTACCATATGCCTTATGCTTTCCTCCTGACGATTTGTTGACTGCAGAGCTTAAGTCCACCTTGCATGTGACAGTCATGCCCCCTTCCCCTGAAGAGATGTAATTAAGTGTTAGAGGAGCTTCAGAGGTGACCCCTGGGACAAAAGAAACTGAGGGAACTTGGCTGTCACCACCAGGTATATTTAACAAGCGGTGGTCAGCACCAGGGATCATCTTTCTCGGAAGGGTTGGACGAAAAGAGAGAGAAAGGAGGACAGATGATTCTAAAGGGCCAAATGGAGAGGGCAAGGGTCAGGCTTGAAGTATTGTCCGGTGGGGGAAGCTGATCTCGTTATGCTCTTGTCTCTATATCTTCATCTCAGATTCATCTCTGGTTCTCTTCTTGTCTCGGTGCAGCACCCTGGAGCTCCATCCCTTCCCTCCCATTCAGAACTCAAATGAGCAAAGTTTAGGTATCAGAACAATTATCAGCTGAAATGAAAAACTGTGAACACAGAAGGGTCTATCTGTGTTTGCTCAACAGAAAAAGATGCATGAAAGGGAAAAGGATTGATGGAAACATGATCTGGACTGTGTGCCGGCACATCACGTTGACTGTGGAGGCTGGGCTTAAAGAATCTGAATCCCCGGCCCTCCTTGAGTGTGTCTCTGCCGTATGCTTTGGTCCGAGGGAATGAGATTTACTCCCGCGACTCTTTCATCTCTTTCTTCTCGTGCCTGCTTTTCTCCCACAGCCTGCGCAGAGAAAGCATGGCAGCGTGTGCGTGTGATTCACAGCATGGGAAGAAAGAGCACTCCTGAGAAACTACAAACAGGAAGACAGACACATCCATCACAAGCACGCACCCCCCTCCTCCTGCCACCAAACACATACACACAGTTCACTCTCCTTTGCTTGCCACTGTTCCCCACTCTAACAATGGCTGTTTCCTGAAGACTGGGGTCACTATGACGTTGCGAGCGACAAGCCGCCTGTGTGTGAAAGCTCAAGAACCGGTGAATAGGAAGGAGCCATG